GTCGTGCACGCCTCCGTGTGCATTGCCCGTTGTCAACGCCCGCTGCGGGCCGGTGCCCATTGTGTCCCCCTGGTTGTGAACGGCTGTGTCCGCGTCCGCTGCGACCAGCCCCACCAAACCGGTTTGCGCCTGTTCAAAATGGCCGCTCCTACCGCCAGGCTGGCTTACCGCTGCCTTGTGCAGTGAGGCCTGCTGACCTATAGCACAGGCGCGCCTGCCTTTGTTCGGTGCGGTCGCTGCTGGACCGCACAAACCCGTTCCCGCTTGGGCAACATGGCCGCCCGCTCCTTGGCACACTGAGGCTTTGTGCACTCGTTCGAACGGCAATGCGCCTTGCTGTGCTATGCTAGCTATGTCGCCCGGGGGCGTCATAACTCCAACTGGGTTACCTATAATAAACACAGAATGATTTAGCCCGGCATCTGGAATAGAACATGTTTGCGAATTAGTTAAGGTTAGTGCGTTGTCCAACGCAGGCGCGCTGATCTCCGTGCACTGTCCATTGTTCACGGCTAGATTGCCTGCACGCTCACCACCAGCTGACCATGGCAAACCGGTTTTGCCTCCAGCCTGCTGCTGCTGCTGCTGCTGCTGCTGTAAACCTGTTTGCGTGCTCGCTTGGCCCCTGACTTCACTTGCGCGCACACAGATAATTTTCTTATAAAAATGCTTAGCGTTATTGCCGCGTTTTGCGCCGCTAGATGGCGTGGTGCATGTTTTGACGTGATGCGTAATTTTAGAATTATTATCTACGCCGCGGTTTGTGTCGGCAGGTGGCGCTGCGCATGTTGTGCACGTATACGTAATTTTGGAATTAATTTCTGCGCCATGTTTTGTGTCGGCAGGTGGCGCTGCGTCTGTGTGAGTGCTTCGGTTCCGCCCGACCGCACTCTGCTCTGTCTGTTGATTATGCTGGATGTGGTGGCGACGTGGCGTGTGACATTTATTCTCGTGCATGTTATGCGTGTGTCGTTTGTGATATTTACGTGCGTCATTTACCTGCGTGTCATTCTTACCCACCTTGGCGCTCAGTATTACAGCACCCCTATCACACGTCATGTTAGTACCTGATAACGAAGCAGAATTATTTGTTACTGATACACCCCTTACTGTCGCTCCCTCCTGCCGCGCAGACATTCGATTCTTAGTATCATGTGTTTGTGCTACATATTTCTCAACCTGGGTACTAGATCTGCCTACGCCATCCCGACGGCTGGTTGCACTCCGGGTCACCCCCGACAAACCCGCCATGTTTGTTTTCCTGTCTCTCTGTTTACCTGTCCAGATAATATTATTAGTAACGAACAAAGCACCTGGTTTTCCATGCAATGTCCGTGACATGCTCGCAGACCCCGTATGCCTGCGACATTCCTGTGTGCCTTTGTGGCTCGCCGCTTTCATTCTAGAACAAACAAACCGATTAGTCCCCGCAGCCGCTGGATCGTAGCTACCAATAAACGCTCCGTCGCTCCTAGTCTTAATCACCCTCTCTTCGCCTGTCGAACCCGTCTTATTACCTTGACTGCCATTAGCGCGCACAATGGCTGTGGCCCGCCGCTTCTCATCTGCATAACTATAGGACGCTGGGTGATTAAGCTCGGACCCCCGACGGTAACCACGAGACCCCGTAGACACAGGTTGTGACATAACAATAGCTGCTTCGCCTCTCTGGCGCTGCGACATTCCGCCGTAATTACAGCTAGACCCAGCACCCCGCATTCCATCACTAATGGGCTCGTCTAGCCGTCGCCGCGACCCGTAATTACATACGTCTAGGGGCTTGTCCTGTAAATCACGCTGGTGCCCCCGACAACGGGTGACCGCCGTATTTACAACCGCACGTCGTCTCGTAAATAATCGCTTCCCACGCAGCTTTTGGTCGTGCTGTTCAGAAAAACAATTAGTGTCAGACAGTGGTATGCCGCCAGACAACGGGCGACCTACCTGGCGATTATGTAATACTATGGAATGCCGACAACCCTTGCCGCATTCTCGCCGCGCCGGTGCGTGGACATACCTGTTGTCACTACGAACCAGCCCTGTCTGAATAGAATGTATATTAGCCTGTCGATCGTACTGGTTTGGCGGCCATGTTTTTATGGTAGCCACTCTCTGCCTCGCTGCGTCCGCCGCCATATTGATAGCGACTTTAGTACCGCGTATCGTTAAACTACCCAATTCAAAATCTAACTTAATTCTATTTACTCTAAGAAAATCCCAACCTAATATAAATTGATGCTGTAATTTTTCTACTATGTAAAATACATGGGTTATACAATGCTGTGCTAATTTAATTCGCAATTTCGCTGTCCCCACCACACACAAACACTCTCCTCCTGCCGATTTTAACATCTGCGTCGTCTCCTCCCTAAAACAATTTGAATAAACCCCTGCTAAATGTTCCCACATTTGTGTTCCGACCAAACTTAAGGCAGCGCCAGTGTCAATTAATGCGTTAATAGTGCTTTTGCCAATCGAAATGTTACACGAAGGTGCGGCTTGCATGTTTACATCGTGCGTGTTTATCAAGATCTTACTGTGAGACTCATTTTGCGTCGCTACCGTCAACGTCTCGAAGCCATGACGGCAGCGTTGCCGTTTACCTGCGCTGTACCGCGGGCGTACGTGGCACTTCGCATGTTAGCTCGAGGTTGCGTCGGGCATCGAAACCATATATGTCCCGCTTGCCCACATATGGCACAAATCGGAAGACCGTCAGGTGGTATATAGATATTGCGTGTTTGCGCGCGGTGTTATTAACTGTGCCGGCGGTGTGTAACGCTGCGCGTTGTTACGTGGCGTGTAAGCCTGTCTGCTGCCTGGCGTGAAACTCGCCGAATAACGCTGCGTTTGTGCATTATTGCTGCGTGGAGCCTGCATGTATCGCTGTGACTGCTGCATACGTATATTATCGCGCGCCTGTGTGTCGTGTGTGGTTTGCGGAATTTGCATGCGCGCGTTTTGCGCGACGATCTCGCGTAAGTCTGCAATTTGCTGTTGCATGGATGGTGTCGTAACAGTCGATATTTGTGCAACCTCGCTACCCTTTCGATTGTGGGCTCTAATATCCAATTCTAATTCAAACGATGCTTGCTGCGTAGCGATCTCTACCGCCCTAGTGAAAGTAGCAGGCTTACTTTTAACCAACGTTCTCCTTAACTTCTCACTCCTTACCCCATCGGTAAACGCTTCAATTAGTCGTTCATTATGATTTACATCTGTATTTAATTTTACCCCGTAGGCTATCCTAGATAGCGCTTCCAATCTCTTAGCAAAGGCTTGTACACTCTCGCTAGCTTTCTGCTGTGCGTGTTTAAATTGTTGAAGTGCTATTGGTTTAGCCGCCGTGTCCGCGTAACGCTTCGTTAAAATGTTTAAAACATCGCTCCATTCGATTGAAGGATGGACACTCATGATTTCAGACAAATAGGAGGCAGGCTCCTCCGCCAACAGCCGCAGAGCCATTCTTACTCTACGCTACGAATCATTCTCATTTACAATAATAAAAAGCTGCTGTAAATTTAACAACCATTGCCCAAAGTCAATTACAGAATCATCCCCCCCGCTAAAAACTTTGTAATTATTCAATAAAACCCAAGATTGAACCTCACGTAACAACCGCTTCATGCCCGGCTCGTGAAACGTGACCTCCCTGTCCCCGTCATCATCATCACGTTCTATAGGCTTATCGATGTTAATATCCGATAAATGGGGGTGCAAAGGATCAGTTCTTTTGTTCGCCATTATTAATCTGGGACGACCCCGGCCAAAATGTTAGACACAGTACTACCACACAAAAAAAAACACTCGAAACGGACACCAAATCGCGATAAACTTACTATAATGCTCCTTAGTTTCGTAAGAATAATCGGTACACTCACAAATTCATGCTGCGACGGTCGTGGGAAATGCTGACAAGACGCTTCGATTCTGCTCTCTTCCTCCGCAGCGATGACTCACACTCGACAACAAAAATAAACATGAATTAGTACCCGGACTACATACAACATTCAACATCTCATGCGACGACGATATTCTCCACACGTAGTGGCCACGGCTCCATTGTAACGTTTACTTTATAGTCATAGCTCTTAACTGCTCGAGGGTGTTACCCATGATCGTACGTTCGTAGTCTACGTATATTATTGAGAGATATCGCCTCGCTCGTTAACTACAAAATGCTCGACCATGCGTGTACGTATACAAGGTAAGAACATCTTTAATGTACAGAGTACTACACGACGGTTTACAGAAAAGTACGCGGAATACAAAGCATAACTTACATAGTACGGTGTAGCGTCACTGCTGTGAACTAACAAACTGAGTGGATACGTTGTCGTCTGAGATGCAACACTGCGAGAGAGTTCGTGTCTTATTTCACAAACATAGCTTCTTATAGTGACGCTACTTCTATTGTTCCAGCTGCACTGTTTACTATTGGCCCGGGTTCTTTCGGTCAAGCATGCAGCTACTTCGCGTGCCGCTATTGGTTCGTTATGCGCGAGTACTCTCTGTTCACGCGTGACCCTTTGACCATGCGTTCTTACTGGTGGGTCGTGTGGGTCGTTGTCACGCCCCGTTTATGACCCATCCAATCGTGTACCGCGGGTCACGTCGACTCTTGCGGGTCAAGTTGATTATCTCATATTATTATTAACGTTTCTGAATATTATTACAATTATTACTCTTTTACTATTACTTCTGTGTTACATCTATAGGAGAACATAGTAAACGTTCCAAATTAAATTTTTTTTTTTAATATTTTTTTTGCCACGAGTATACTCGTGTTTCGCGGCCGTGCGTTTTGCAGGTTCGAACGAGTATACTCGTGTTTCGCCTTGAACGTGTTAAGTGCAACTAGTACGCGTACGGGGGCTGGAGACCACCAAGCTGTCGCTATAGTACCAGTTCGAGTCAAAGCCATCAACAGTGATAAGTATGTGGAGACGTACGCTTTTTTGGACTCCGGAAGCACTGCAACCTTCTGTACAGAGAACGTCATGAGATCGCTAAACATTGAGGGAAAGAAAACTACGATTGACTTACGCACGATGGGACAGGAGATGGTTAAGAGCTGTTATGTGGTTTCAGGTTTGGAAGTTAGTTCTTTGAGCGGTGAAAATACATTGGAATTGCCACCTGTCTTTACACAGGTCGATTTGCCAGTGACTCGGAAAGACGTGACGTTGGCGGACGACTTGCGAAAATGGTCACATCTGCGTGAAGTACCTATAGATACAATCGATAGCGATGTTGGGCTGTTGATAGGAGTCAACGTTCCAAAGGCCATGGAACCGTGGGACGTTATTCCCAGCTTTGAGAATGGCCCTTTCGCGGTGAAAACTTTGCTAGGGTGGGTCATTAACGGACCTCTTGACAATGTTCCAGTCACTGGTGTGTCGAGTAGATTCGTTTCCGTCAATCGCATAGCCGCGGTAAGCAGTCCAAGCTTGGAAGAACAAGTTCGCAATCAGTTCGACCATGACTTTAGTGAGAGGACAATTGACGACGTCATTGAGCCTTCAAGGGAGGATAAACAGTTTCTAGAGGCCGTAACCAATTCTATACAGTTCAAGGATGGTCATTACGTGATTGGTTTGCCATTCAAAGCTGATTGTGCCAGTGTTCCTAACAACCGGAAACAAGCTGAACAAAGAATGATTTCAATCAACAGACGGTTTGCCAAGGATGAAGCATTCTGCAACGAGTACAAAGGCTTCATGGAAAAGGTCATTGATAAGGGCTATGCTCGAAAGGTGCCAGCCGATCAGCTGCAACGGGATGATGGAAGGGTGTGGTACCTGCCGCACCACGGTGTGTACCACCCGAGAAAGAAAAAGCTGCGGGTCGTGTTTGACTGTGCTGCCAGATATGGTGGTACCTCGTTGAACGACTGTCTGCTGCAGGGGCCCAATCTTACAAACACGCTTGTCGGCGCTCTGATTAGATTCAGACAGGAGGAAATTGCCGTCATGGGGGACATTGACAGTATGTTTTACCAAGTCCAGGTACCCCCACAGGATGCCAGCTTCTTACGATTTCTCTGGTGGAGACATCAGCAAACAGGTGACCGAATATGAGATTGGCGTGCACCTGTTCGGGGCCACATCGTCACCCAGTTGTTCGAACTTTGCGCTCAGGAAAACGGCTCAGGATTGCAAGGAACAGTTTAATGCGGAGGTCGTCGACACTGTTCTCCGGAATTTTTATGTCGATGATTGTCTGAAGTCACTGAAATCTGTGGATAGTGCAGTGTCTCTGGTGAAGGACCTGCAAGCTCTCTTGAATTGTGGTGGTTTCCACATTGCTAAGTGGATTAGCAACAGTAGAGAAGTTATGAGCTACATTCCGGTATCCGAAAGAGCCAAGGAAGTAAAGGACTTGGATCTTGATCAGGACGTGTTGCCTATCGAGAGAGCTCTTGGAGTTCAGTGGTGCGTGGAGTCAGACGCCTTCTGCTTCCATATTGGTGTCAAGGAACAGCCACTCACAAGACGTGGAATTCTCTCCATGGTCAGCAGTGTGTACGACCCTCTGGGGTTCTTAGCTCCACTCATGCTGAAGGCGAAAGTAATTCTTCAGGAGTTGTGCAAACTTGAACTAGAATGGGACCAGCAGATTCCCGAGAAGTTCTCGAGCCAGTGGCGCATCTGGCTGCAAGATCTTGACAGGCTCGCTTCCTTCAAGATAGCCAGATGTGTGAAGCCGCAAGGTTTTGGCCAGGTGCAATCAGCTCAGTTACACCACTTTTCCGATGCCAGTGAGACAGGATATGGCACAGTTAGCTACTTGCGATTAACAAACGAGGAAGGCAAGTCCCATTGTTCATTCATCATGGGCAAGTCTCGTGTAGCTCCTTTGAAGCAGACTACAATCCCACGCTTAGAGTTGACTGCGGCCACAGTGGCCGTTCGTACAGACAAAATGTTGAAGGGTGAGCTTGACATACCGATCGACCGCACAGTGTTCTGGACGGACAGTATGGCTGTGCTGCGCTACATATGGAACACAACCTCAAGATTCCATACTTTCGTTGCAAACAGACTTACTGTGATCCACGGAGGGTCATTGCCTTCAGATTGGCGGTATGTCAATACGAAGCTCAACCCGGCAGACCTCGCCTCCAGAGGTCTCCCCGTCGATAGCTATCTCCGGGAAAACCAGTGGATAGTGGCTCCAGCATTCCTCTGGGAAGAGGAAGACAAGTGGCCAAACATTCCATCCGAGATTTCTGCAGGTGATCACAACGACGATCCTGAGGTAAAGAAGGTGGCTGTAAGGGCTGCGGTAACAGGCTTGTCGACTGTCGGAGGCGACATCGATGCGATGAGCGAGTTGATCAGTTATCATTCGTCTTGGTTCGTGCTGAAGCGAAGTCTTGCTTGGATCCTCAAGGTTCGCAGAGAGTTGCTTCGGAGGGTTCGCCATAAAGAGATTGTGGACAGTGAGCAAACGGGGAACAATCAAGTTCAGCCACAGGAAGCCTGCAAGGAGGGCTTCATTTCAGTTCAAGACATGAACGAAGCGGAGGAGGCTATTATTCGATACGCTCAGCGACAGGCATTTGCCGACGAAATAGTTTCATTGAGCAGCGGACAGGTAAAGAAATCCAGCAAAATTCGGAAGTTGGATCCAATCACAGACAATGGTCTGTTACGTGTAGGTGGGCGGTTGAGCCAATCTAACATGCCCGCTGAAAGCAAGCACCCTGTCATTCTGCCGAAGAACAGTCCTGTATCAGACCTAGTTCTCAGGCAGATTCATCATGATCTAAAGCATAGTGGTCGAAACCACATGTTAGCACGACTGAGGCAAAGATATTGGCTGGTGAATGCACCATCAGCCATCAGGAGAGTGATTGCTAAGTGCGTTATTTGCCGCAAGCAGAGGTCTCCGGTTGGAGAGCAGAAGATGTCGAATTTGCCGGAAGACCGGCTCGTTCCTGACGAACCACCATTTACAAGAGTGGGGGTCGATTACTTCGGCCCATTCGAGGTTAAACAGAGACGCTCTCGTGTTAAACGATATGGCGTCATCTTCACATGTCTAACCAGCCGCGCTATTCATCTGGAGATAGCGGCTTCATTGGACACGGATTCGTACATAAACGCGCTTCGTCGTTTCATTGCGCGGCGAGGTCAGGTGACAAAAATGCGTTCAGACAATGGGACCAACTTTGTTGGCGCAGAACGGGAACTTGCGAGGGCTATAAGTGACTGGAATTTGTCGCAAATCCACGACTCCATGCTACAACGAAACGTAGATTGGCAATTTAATCCACCCGCTGGATCACACCATGGTGGCGTGTGGGAGAGAATGATCAGAACAGTTAGAAAGGTCATGAATAGTGTTCTGCGGGAGCAAACTCTAGACGAAGAAGGGCTTCATACTCTCTTGTGTGAAGTGGAGTCCACTATCAACGATCGTCCCATTACCAAGAGCTCTGATCAGCATTGTGATTTAGAGGCGCTGACACCCAATCATCTACTTCTTATGAAACGGAAACCGAACTTGCCTCCAGGAGTTTTCGGTAAGACTGACAACTACTGTAGACGTCGATGGCGGCAAGTACAGTACTTGGCTAGTTTATTCTGGCAGCGGTGGTTGCGCGAGTACTTGCCACTTCTGCAGGAACGACAAAAATGGCGCGACGAGAAACGAAGTCTGAAGGTTGGCGACGTGGTTCTTATCGTTGATTCGAATGCCCCTAGGAATTCCTGGCCGATGGGTCTAGTCCAGGAAACAATTCCTGACCGGTTAGGTGTCGTTCGACAGGCGAAGATTAAAACGTCAACAAACATGTTGGTACGTCCAATCGACAAACTGTGTCTCATTCTGGAGATGGATTGAAGCTGAGGGATTTGTTTGTAGTGATACAATATATGTACTTGAGACTATTCACGAGTTGTGAATTTAAATTTAGTTTTGATCATTATGTGATTTGTAATTGTGTCGCGACTCGCTCCATAATTAGGGGGCTGGGATGTAGGTGCCAAATTAACCATCTGCATTTCCAGCGAGTGACGTCATATTGCCGTGAACTGAAATCGAGGCTGTGGCAACATTCATGATGGCGGGCTTGTGTCTCGCACGGCGTTTCTGTTCAAACTTAATCACTGTACTGAATTACTAGGAGATACTCACAGTTTGTAAGTCACAACGCACAGAATAGTGACTATAGATCACGTGTATATATGATGCATTTCGGACGTCATCGTTTGTAAGGTGTAATGTTGATCGTTAAACTGCATGATTTGATTTGGGAAAAATGGCGCGCTCGTATGTGTGCTAAAACCGGCAACGTGACTTCATGAGTCACAAACGTAACTGTACAATATTGGGAGATAGTTATGTTCAGCGCATTCGTGTGTACGTGCGTGTGTTAGGGAATATATGTGATGTTTGTATACCAAATGGGTGCGTTCCATTGTGGGTATATACTATATAGTATTAGGATTGTATACATGCAAGCAGGTGTACGTTTCTTATTCTAGCGTATCTGATGTGTGCTATATATCGCGTTGGAGTAATTTCCTTTAGTATGTTTGTTTTAACGTTGTTTGCAGTAGTGCTGATTTATGTAAGTGTGAGTGCGTACTAGTTTGGCTTTATTCTTAGTATAAGCAATGACTCATACATGTAACTCTGTTCGATTCCAATCGGTGCTATAATATTTTATTAGCAAGTACTATGTCGAAAGTACAGTATTACTGTGTATTACTAGTCGTTATGTGGAAAGGAACTGCATATACTTATATTCCGTTTATTTGTGTGTTTCAGTAAATCGTATCAAAACACCTTCACCGGGATACGCATTGCCAATTTAATTGTGTTTATTTGAGTCTTGGAGTTTACCAGCCAGTACAACTACCATCGAGTGTTGGTCGGTATCTTTTGATCAGTTTCTATGGTAACATACACAGCACATCCACGCGCGTCCTATGTAATAGCAGTAGTATCTAGCTGTATAGTACTAGCGGTATACTACTAGCGGTAGAGATTCCGCCCCCATCATCACTTAATACTCGGAGGTCAATTCAGACTGTACATATTGCGATATTTTGAGTCGAGCGCATATTCTAATGAACGTGACATATCTGCCGTGTCCCTCCTACAATCTCGCATGAATTCACTCATTTCGGAATGTTCTAAACAGAAGTCAATTTCAGACTTTTTTAAGAAAGATTGAACCCCGGACTATCAAAATACTGCACGCAAACTTAAATGTACTTGCACATTTGCTGATAAATCAGATCTTTCCATAAATCAGATTCTGTCGTAGTTCGGCAGATCCATGGAGTATTCTGGTTGTAGTGGGGTGGCGCGTTGCTGGATTTTATTGTAACATTTCAACCTATTAATTAGGGGTGCACCGGAACTTGGATCTGGCCGGAACTATCTGGCCAAATCCCCAATTTTTCAGTTCTGGTTTCGGCCGGAACATAAAAAGTTGGTTCCGGTGCACCCCTACTATTCATTATGATAGCATAGATATTATTGTGTGCTGATGACGTAAATGCTTGCCTTATACCCCAGTCACACCAGGGTCCCGATCTCACTACGCTCGTACTACGCTCTAAGAGCGTGGTGGAAACGTGTAGAACGCAGTGTGGACGTATATGGACGTACTGCGATCGTGATCGAGCGCGGTGCAGTCAGCATGAGCGTGGAGAGCAAGGCCAAACTGTTAAAAATAATCATGGTGCGAGCGTGGCGGAAATACAGCGCTGTGCGGGCGTATTAGAGACGTGGAAGGCGTAGTACCCACGTAACTCGAGCGTAGTACGAACTTAATGGTCGTATCGCAAGCGTGTTGGGTGCGTGAAAATTGTCGCCCCGTTCTCAGCACGATTTCAATACGTTTTCATCACGCTGTTACTACGTCCATGGAGATGTCTCTGCGACCTGACCACGCTATCACTATGACCATGGTGCGTCTCTAGCAAGCTCGACCCGTTCGTACTACAATTGTACTACGCCCAACACGCTCAGACTACGCCGTTGTGGCGTTCGCATTACGTGTTAGTTACGCTCAGATCACGTCCTGCAAAATTGGGGTATAATTTGGGGTGCTACCCTGGCCACCCCACCAGTGCAGTGTCCACTATGGATGAGGCAACACTACTCCATGCCATGTTTCTCGTAGAAGGACAACTCGAACTACTTGATTGCCAAGCCCTCATCATGCTGAGGAGGACGAGGAGGAGAAATAGAAGACAACAAAGATCTTGCTGGCTCTCCCCTTGTCTTTTGGCGGCATAGTTGTGTCCGTAGACAATAATCTTGATGGTAATCTTGACAGCACGGCAGAATGAATGATGATGTATAGAACGCGGAGTGGTATTTATATGATCGTTGCCAGCGCAGTCGGCGCGTGATTGGCGCGCAGTTGAGGCGCGGTGAGCGTTGCTAAGGCGCAGTGCAAGCGTCGTTCGAACGCAACACGATCTGATTGGTCACAATAAAGACGCAGTCCGCGCAGTGCAAGCGTGAAGTGGGCGTGGTGTTGAGCGTGGTGAAAGCTTGTTGAGCGCAATGAGATCAGGGTAAAGACGCACTTAGATCGTAGTATGGACGTAATTAGATCGTAGTATCGGCGCTGGGCCCGGCTGAGGCCCAATTAGCCACGCTCTCAACCACGCTCACCACGTTCGGGCAATTTTTTTGAGGACGGGGCGATCGTGATGAGGGTAGCTCTGGTGTGATTGGGCCTTTAGACCTGAGCACAATGCGTTAGTAAACAAGGCATTTTCTATAATGGCTATTTACGATGATTTTGCTACAAAACTACTAAAGTTACAAAAAAGTTGCAAACTGGGCAACTCGAGCCTCAAGTGTACGTGTTACTATTACTATTACTAATTTATTAAAATTGCAAGTTGCATCCTTTGACATTTTGTGTTCACATTTTTATAATAATTCAATTCAATTCAATTCAAAATGTGTATTTATCACAATTTGTTATATAAAGGTTAACAACAGTTTTATTAGTCGACAGCGGTGGTGGTCGAGAAGTATAGTTGATAAATTTAAGTTGAAGACCGGACAATTTACAGCAACTCCAAATCTTTGAATAAGCAAAAACATGACATTACTACACAGCCAAGTTAGATTTATACAATAACATGGTATTACTATTAGCTTGCTGATAGATTTTGATGATAGTTTGTGTCATATCATGTTAGTAAACATAGTGCTCATTGGTACTCGGAAGGTGGCAGCACGGTCCAGCATGAGCACTAGGGGTTTGTGGCGAGGCGGGAACCATTACTAGCCTGCGGTTTGGATGAGTAGAACGTGAACAATAAATGGCTGTTTAAATTGGACTTCCGTCTTATATATTATGCAAGATATTGTTACATGGTGGCAGCGGTTATGCGAACTAACCACGCACGTAATGGAACTAGAGACGTTGCGTGCTAATGAGCTTCTGTGATAAGAATAACAGTGCAAAGTTGTGGTGTGGAGCTCCCGCCGGTAGACAGCGGTACAGTGGTAACATATGCCATTGTGTCGACGGGTGGCAGGAGATCACCAATCCGGATACTGTAGAGCAAGGTACTGTGCAGTATCACCACCCAAAATCTGGCAAAAATGGGGGACTTGACAGGCATTGAACCACCTCGTATGGACTGGTCAGCAGCAAATGTGCCTAGTGCCTTCAACGAGTTCAAGCAGTACTGCAGTCTGATATTTGCTGGGCCGCTCGCCAGCAAAACTGACGAGGAGAAAGTTACGTACATGCTAATATGGGTCGGACAAGAAGGACTAAAAATGTTCAGCTCTTGAGCTCTGTCTAGAGAGTACCGCAAGAAGCCCGACGCCATCTGGAAATTATTTGAGAAACACCTTGAACCTATGGTCAGCTCCTGGCTAAATAGATTTAATTTACAGAAGTTCAGACAGACACCGACAGAATGCATTGATGAATTTATGACACGCTGTAAAATACAGGCGAAGAAGTGCAACTTCAGAGATGAGCGCGAAACAAGCGAACGCCTTGTGGAACAACTTATCATTGGCACACACCACAAGAAGGTCCAGGAGATCCTGCTTTCCAAGGATGAGACGGTTGACCTTGATGTAGCGATGGACATTGCCAGGACGCGTGAAGCAACCGTGGCACACATGACACAATTTACAAGCAGTGATGTGGCTGGAGCTGCCATACACGCGGTCAAGAAAGGTTACACAACCGGCAAAACAAACAGTTCCTGGGCAAAGCCTACGGGAAGTGCAATCGCTGTTGAGGCAGCCATGGCGCTAAATGTCCAGCATACGGCACAACATGTAGGGCCTGGGGCAAGGACAACCACTGGGAGAAGGTCTGCCGGGCAAGACCAGATGCCGATGCCGGGCAGTCAGGTCAGCCCCGTGGGGAGAATACCTAGGTCACATTCACGTGGTAGGTGGCCCCAATGAGGGAAATCTGCGAACAACAGGTGGTTCCATGCAGTCTCAGAGAAGCCGAATGACATGCGCCAACAAGGCAGTCGTGGCAGTGGGCCATCCTTGGAGGAGAGTTTTGAGTCATTGTCATTTGAGTCGATAAACTCTGACAGTGACGAAAGGGATAGCGATACACGAGATAAGGCACGTGCCAAATCTAACCTCAAGGTGAAGGTGGACACCGGGGCGCAGGGTAACATACTGCCCCTGAGAATTTACAGAAGGATGTTCCCTGAGAGGTTGGACTATGGTGGTTTCTCACGGAGGGGAGCCACAAAGCCGCGGAGCACTGTGCTGACCGCATATAATGGCACGAGGATCCCACAGCACGGGTCCATTGATATCCATTGTAGGTACCGCGAGTACCACGATGTGGCAGAGTTTTATGTGACTGACTCCGAAGGATCGGCCATCATGGGATTGCCAACGCTGCGTGAGCTACATGTGGTCAAGCTCAACTGCGAAATAACGACCAAAGCAGTCGTTAACAAGGACAAGGCACCGTACAGCGCACCTACGGCACCTGTCCAACTCACACATGTAGACTGTAAGGATGTCTTGGTTAAGCTATACCCAGACAGATTCGAGGGCATCGGTAATTTTAAAGGGATGTTCCACATAACAGTAGACCCATCTGTACAACCGGTGGTCCATGCCCCTAGACGCTGCCCAATACATCTACTAGACGAATTACGTAAAGAGTTGGATGGTGTGGAGCAGATGGGCATAATCACAAAAGTTACGGAGCCGACCGACTGGGTCAGCAGCCTGGCATTCAGTCGCAAGTCAAATGGGCGACTGTGCGTGTGCCTAGACCCCAAGGATCTTAACACGGCAATCAAGCGTCCACACTACAAGACTCCCACGTTAGAGGAGATCACGCACAGATTTGCCGGGGCGACTACCTTCTTGAAACTTGATGTCCATCATGGGTACTGGTCGATATCCCTGGATGCGCAATCGAGCCGGCTCACGACGTTCAACAGCCCGTTCGGCAGATAGCGTTTCCGGAGGTTCCCGTTCGGATTAAACGTGAGCCAAGATGTGTTCCAGGAACGAATGGATCACATTCTGGAGCAGTGTCCATGCACCACTGGCATCACAGATGATGTTGCAGTGTTTGGTAAATCAAAGGAAGACCATGACCGGAACCTACACAACCTCATGGAAGTCGCACGAGAACACAGCCTAGTGTTAAACATTGACAAATGTGAGGTCAATAAGCGAAGCATGAAGTTCTTCGGTCTTGTGTTTGACCCTGATGGAGTCCACCCAGACCCGGACAAAGTCAGAGACATTAGGAATCTAGCGGTGCCCAGTGACCCCAAGCAGTTGCAGGAATTCCTAGGCATCGTCACATACATGTCTCCGTTCATCCCGAACCTATCACAAGTGACTGCACCTCTGCGAGAGCTCATGAAAGGAGGTACAGAGTTCTAGTGGTCCACGTCACATCAGATCGCTTTCGAGAAAATAATCGAGCTGATCTGCCGAGAGGTCACCCTCAGCTACTTCGACCCAAAGCAAGAGTCTGTACAGCAGGTCGATGCATCCAGCAAGGGCCTCGGCGCCTAAATAATACAACATAACAGACCAGTGTCACTTGCGTCAAAGTCATTGAGTGACTGCGAGCAGAGATACGCCAACATTGAACGCGAGCTACTAGACGTCGTATTCGGGTGTGAGAAATTCCACACGTACTTGTACGGCAAGCACTTCACAGCCGAGTCGGATCACAAGCCACTGCAATGCATGTTGCTACGCATTCAACCGTACGACATCACAATCCGATACCGGACAGGAAAAGAGGTGCTGATAGCTGACGCACTCTCGAGATCACCTGGAAATGACTGCGCTACGATCGACCTGGACATGAGAGTGGATTACGCACAGTGGTCGACCCAGAAGCGCCAAAGACTGTGCGGCAGCACACGCAGCGACGCAGAGCTTAGTGCATTAATGAATATTGTCGTTACAGGGTGGCCGGAAAGGCAAAAACAGCTTCCGCTCCCGCTGCGTCCATATTGGTCATACAGGGACGAGCTCACCGTGGACGATGGTGTCATCATGTAAGGTGATCGTGTCGTAGTTCCAGCAAACATGCGGGCGGACATTCTGGCTCGGCTACATGAGTCGCACCAAGGTATCGAGAAAACGAAGTTGAAAGCACAAACATGCGTGTACTGGAACAATATAAACTCGGATATATTGAGAACTTGGAGCGAAAGTGCAGCATATGCCAGCAAGCTCAGAGGACGCAGAGTCACGAGCCGCTTCTGCAGCATGGGCTTCCAACCCGGCCCTGGCAATTCCTGGGTACGGACCTATTCTACCTGGCAGGCGATGAATACCTAATCATCAGTGATTACTACTCAAAGTTCTCCTTTGTCAAGAAAATTGGCGGCAGAGCCACGAGTCAGACCATTGTGAACATAACTAAGAGTATCTTCGCTGAACAAGGGGTACCGGAAACCATAATAAGCGATAACGGTCCACAGTTTGATGGTCAAGCTTACAAGGTTTTCGCCGAGAAGTGGGGTTTTGACCATGTAACAGCGAGCCCTCATTACCCGCAGTCAAACGGGCTGATTGAGCGCCAGGTACAGACCGTCAAACGCGTCCTGACTAAAGCCAGAGCAGCAGGAATTGACGTAGACATGGCAATGTTAGTGCTCAGGTCTACTCCGATAGACCATCACCTCCCGTCACCAGCTGAACTGTTGAACGCGAGGAGAATGAAAGCGAACCTCCCCACGAGGATATACAACAACGCACCCAATAAGGATGTGACCATGCAGAGGCTTCTACAGTGGCAGGCATCTCAAAAGGCATATTATGATGAGAAGGCCGGAGGAAGCTTGGCCTTGCTTATCAAAGGGCAACCCATTCGGATACAAGACCAGACATCAGGCCAGTGGCGTCCAGGAATAGTCACTGGGATCCGTCCAGAACAACGCTCGTATGAGGTACACACGCCCTCTGGTGTTAGAGGAAGAACCGGCGTCACATTAGGGAGACGTGTGAGGAGGCAAACACCTTAGCTCAAGCCGATATCCCCGTGCAACCTACCAGCGATCCTGAGACAGCAGCCAGAATGGATACGCAGAGCACACCAGTACATCCAGCGAAATGCGTCCGTTTTCTACAGGATGCTGGAACCAACTGCCATCAAGTGGGTGATGATAATAGTGCTTCCAGCGAGGCTGTGGCTAACACCTATCGTACGCGGTCAGGTAGAGCAGTCATTCCACGAAAAGTGTTTGACATGTGAAGATGATTTTGAGTCATATTTAAATGACATTGAGTAGTTCATTTTGTGTTAATGTTACTACTGTTGTGTTATGTTACTTGTATGTTATATAGTGAGTTACGTCTGTTCATACCCATTATGTAAATGGTTTTATAGGTAGTAGGTTACATCCTTTATAACGTAAAATCCGCAACTTATCTTCCGTCGCAGAACAAGCAGACAATCAACGCGAATTTATAATCACTGAAATGCACCTCGTAAATAGCGGTATTATTAGTGGCTACCCTCAGCCTTTGATCCAATCAGACGGTCTCTAATGCTTCTAAAAGAAAGAGGATGTCATATCATGTTACTAAACATAGTGCTCATTGGTACTCGGAAGGTGGCAGCACGGTCCAGCATGAGCACTAGGGGTTCGTGGCGAGGCGGGAACGATTACTAGCCTGCGGTGTGGATGAGTAGAACGTGAACAATAAATGGCTATGTTTAAATTGGACTTCCGTCTTATATATTATGACAAGATATTGTTACAATTTGCACGTAATTAGACTAGGTACGTAAGACAACATCATTATATAACTCGAGTAACTGATAATAAATAATATAAAATAGAAATAATGGTAGTAATACTAATAGTAATAAGTAGTAATAACTCGACTTACTTATAACGATCGAAACTTTAAATATTAAATATATTCATAGCAACACAATATACGGTATACTCCCATAACTATCAATGCAAACTTATTATGCATTTATTATTGCTAAAATAAGCTCATTACTTACAAAATACATTTTCCAACGGTCTGACAAGTCACCACAGATCTCAAGAATACCCTATTATCGCTCACAGTTTCTTGTTTACCTTGCTACTAATTCCTAGTCAGGTGGCTTAGGCCCATATTTGAGAAGGATGGGGACATGCCGGATAAAAGCACCAAACATTTTCCATATACTATCCAGTGCCTAAGGTTTCAATTTTTGATAGGAGCCACTTCATCAAGATAGAGGGAGGCGGTCATCTTGGATTCCAAGATGGCTGCCATGTAAAAACCTATAAATGTCAATATCTCGGCTTTTAGGTCACTTAGGAGGGCAAACTTGGTGTTTAAACATACATTTTCTGGGGTGAGGAATGCAATTAAACTATTTAGAACATCGAGAGATGAATATTTGCATCAAAATTGGTGAGCTCTTGTCCTCAATTCCAGGAGTTTTTGCTGTCGCTCACTCATCCCAGTGGTGCCCACACACCCTACATATTCAATAATGAAAATTCCCACGAGTTAAACAATAGCGCCCCCCTCCCTACGTCACACAATGCAGCAACATGCACGTGCACGGCCACAATGAGCGCGCCAGCGATCTATAATTGGTATTCTATAATTGGTAATTCTATAATAATATTAATGGTAAACGTAATACCACTGCTCTTTTTATTCTATGTTTTTAAACAATTTTACGTGTTAATGTACGCTGTGACTGAAGATACCTGGGCATGATGGACTGGAGCTTGTGTATAGTATGCCCAGAGTCAACTTCTGAAGCACTCAGATGCCCGTTAAATGCACATGGACCTGCATATCCCGTTTTCGTCCTGATACTTTCTTTTTTTAGGCTCCAAGTTCTGTCTTTAGATCGTTTAAACTCATTTCTTCGTATTTCTTCTTTGGCATTTTGAAAACGATGCGTATAATCCACGTAAAATCAAATGAAACAACAAACAGAGTTGAATTTCATCGGGATTTTTCTTGAAGAACTTGGTTGCGTCACAGCGCCACCTGATTTATTAGTTCCAAGGTACCTCATTGCTTGTACAATGTATTTAGAGGTCTAACATTCCTCCTTGTTCACGTAGTTAAATGTGCATTTAAAAAACATGAATCAATATATCTGCTTTGCAAGTTACATGTATGTCTGAGTGTGCATTTCTGTTCTATTCGAATTAACAAATCCATGGAGCAAAAAGACATCCATAAATAAATGACATCCCACAATGAATATCATACATACATGCACATAAACATCCAAAAACAAAAAGCACAGGCAGATAGTCGATCGGTTCAGTACAAGAAACAAACCAAGGTCAACGTCATCCATTACAATTAAGTAGCAACTTCAGCCTACAAAATATCACAGGTGTAGTGATCGCGTATGTGGAGGATTCACACTCGCCGAGTGCCTTCTTTCTAGTTTATTGTTGTACTGTCTGGTTTTTCCATGAGCCGGAGTCCGCGGGTTCTCCTGCAACTTCTGCTACACATAAACCCAAAATCTAAAAACACTGAACACTGTACTGCTTTCAGTGTTTTAAAATCATATTCTGCAGTAGTGTGTAAGAGGTGAAGTGATCATTTATGTCGGTCGTTCTCATTATTGCTTTGAATTATGTCATCGTTGTCTTTAGTTTTAAACTTCCACTGTAGATATGATCATTTTTCTGTGGACACTCCAATATGAGGGCAATGAGTCCATTGGGCTTACTTTGATTTAACTTTTAAGTTTGTATATCTGATCCCTGATATCTCTTTTCTGAATGTTGTATAATAGCAGGTTTAATGAAAGACTGATGTAGGTAACGATTGGAAGAAAATAAATAGAAAAAGTTTACATTAGCCTTTTATTTACTGTTACTAATGTTATCTACGTATTTTCTTTGAATAGGTTTGCAATTAATCTGTTGGTTTCGCCAAATGGGGATATTGCGTTGCATTTCAACCCTCGGTTCAATGAACGACGGGTGGTTCGCAATACGCTACAAAGCCAGCAGTGGGGCATGGAAGAAAGCAATGAGCCATTCCCTTCCAATCTTTTGCCTGGTCAAACTTTTGAGATAATAATTCTAGTGGAACCAAACTGTTACAAGGTGAGCAACATTATTTCCAATATGATGTTATAGTCAGATCTCATGTAACTATGAATTTGTATTGTTACATTTCGTTTTATTGTGGCCTTGTTGTTTGATGCCATGGCTTCGTATAATGATCAGTTTTTTAATTTCATCATGAAAAATCCAATGCCCTTCGTTGTACTTTTTCCCCTGTCACTGGTACGTTGACATACTCCAGAGCCAGCCTGCTGTCAATATGGACAGGTGTAAAGTTCATGAAAACGTACCATGATTTGGCCGCGAATGAAGTATCAATAATTGTGTAGCTTTTGCCATGGACTTGCTAATTGGCTCTGCAGTGGTATGGCCTGTAGTTGTGTGTAATTTATGTCCACGGTCTCAACAAAGTGGAATTAATGTGATAGCCATAATTATATGAGGTCCGCATGTACTGTATAATTGATTTAGTATATATATCAAATTAATTTATGTGTCTTCACCATCATATGCATTTTTTTTGCAATTTAGATTGCAATAAATGGCCAGCACTATACACAGTATGCACACCGCATCCCTATAAATTACATTACTGCGGTTGGTGTTGATGGAGATGTGACATTGACTGGAGTGAAGTTTGAAGGTGCTGGGGTAGGTGTACGTTTTTGTGTTTTTCAGCAAAATAATTAATTGGTTAGACTAAATCTTTAGTTTTTATATTTGCATTGTTAAAGGTGAATCTGTTGTATAGATGGGAAACCAGTAAGTTTTACTTATGTTGTGACCCACAGAGGTTGCTCTATGTTAGACGTTGATTGACAAATGGTGAGTACATATTTACCTTGCCACATTTCATGTTACTTTCAACAAGATACAAGGCAGACCTCTCGATTGATCTTTGTATGCAATTCAGTGAGAACAGGAGTGACAGTAAAATATAAATGTTCTAGTTACCAACAGAGTGCTTCTAATATTGTGCTATCCCTGCTGACAGATTTTGTTATGTTATTAGATTCCTATGGCTGGCCTAGTACCCGTTGAAAATCCACCAATACCTGCAGTGCCACCTCATGGTATGCCACCAGTGCAGCCACCACAGCCAAGTCACCAGCCAGTGAGTTACGGTCAACCCTTGGGAGGTTATTCTGCAGGAATGCATGGAACAGGATACCCAAGTACTGGGGTGGGATACTTTGTCCAACCGTTTATACTGAAATATGCTTAGCCTGTTAAAATGTCAAGCAAAGATTACCTAGTGCTAAATAACACATCTAGATGCAGCATATATCTACATGAATAATGACAAAAATCTGGTAATGTGTTTGTGGATATTAAATATATTTCTCAAGGGTGCGAAATTAACGCGAGTCCGGAGTCAAATACTCCCTGATTTCCTGTCGGACTCCCTGATTTGACATATGCAGGAGTCCGTGTGACTCCCTGAAAATTCTGCTATAGTTTGTTCCAAAGCACGGCCTCGCGGAATTGCCATATTTTTTCAGCAAATGTCCAAAGACAATTCACAGATGTGCAACCGCAAGAATCTAGGCAGACTGCTGTCTTGCTAAATTCTTCCGTTTCGTGACCACCAAAAAGGGTGGGCACCAAAATGGCATGAAAATTATGAAATAAATTTATTATGACTATCGTTGCTTTTCACAAGCGTATTTCTTGTACGTTAATTCGTAAATAAATTTAAAAGGGATAAAAATTATATCTGTAACCGCGTACAAATAGAGCCAATCAGTAACGCCGTACATCCTTTACTGCGCAATATGTGATCAATATTGACCAATCACTGACGACCGTAGTCTTTATTGTGGTTATGCAGTGCACAACATGGCATCCTCCACGGATGAGGTGTGCACTCCGGTAGACGGAGGTAAATTGTGTTTTATGTGCATTTTCCCTGCGAATAAATCCACTGTAGTACCATTTTCTGATAAAACATGGTCACGTTTTTCACAATTTGTCAACAAATGGAAGGATTTAGAAGGGGACCAGACAGAAATAGCAAGACGGTACATCGCTGTTACTCACTTTACTGCTGCTGAAGGCAGTAATCTGTGTGACTGTGAGATGCCGATTCGCGTTGATGTAGGGTTTCATCAAATTTGTGGTTCAAGGATAGAGAACATGGGTTCCAATAAAACCAATGTCATTTACATCAATATAAATATAATATTATATCAATATAATAGGTTAGGGTTATGGTTAGGGTTAGGGTTAGGCACATTGGTTTCATTGGGACCCATGTTCTCTATCCTTGGGCCAAATTTGTTATGCCCGATTTACTGACAAGCAAAGGATGGAGAGGGTGGCAAACAATATGAAAAAGAGAGAGCAACTTGGGGCTAGTAGTGGTAAGTAACAAGTTCAGTTATATTTTAAAATATTAATAAAATTTTGGCCTAAAAATGTAAAATAGTAAACCTAATCATGTCTGAGTCTGACTAACTAAAGTAAAAATTCAAGTTAACTTAGTCTGTTGTTAGACCCTATCCCAATACTCATAGCAGTCTAAATTTTTAAGTTACACAATATATCACTGTCATGCCATTCTTTATCTAATCTTATGAACAATAAAACCAAAAATCTCGTGAAAATATTTACAAGAACAATGTTTTTTCACAGGCATGTCGTTTTGACTAAACTAGACAGGTCATATGGCTATGTCTGTGCACTAACTCATTTTGCATGCAGTATCAAACTTTAGACATGAAATAGAGAATTTTGGTGCTAGCCGCTAGAAAATAAAATCTGAGTTTGATCAATTATTGTTATCCTATCTCAGTAATACCCCCTCCCCTTTTTTTTAGCCATCTACAAGAGGAGTTTGCAGCCGAATCCAGTGATACCCCCACCTGATGGCCATGGGTGGAAGATGGACAGTAGCGGGGAGCTTGTCATCGACTGGATGAACCTTCCGTCTGCTCCAGAGAGTGTGATGGAGCTAGCTAATTGTACAGCCAGCTGTAAGAGAAGTGGTTGCAATGACGTCAACATATGTAGCTGCTTAGAAAACGCTATCCCATATACAGATTTGTGCAAGTGTGCTAGGATGAACTGCTCCAACGTTGGTGGTCAACATCAGTCTGCGAAATTAACCACTGGCTGTAAATTTTCCGTGGGGCCAATGAAACTGTTAGATGAACAAGCCCGATGTGCCAGTCGAAAAAAATGGAGTAAATGGTCTATTAATGATATTTCATCTTCTTTATGTGATGATCAGTCTGAGAATTAACCGAAATTCCCGATATTTTGTATGAAAATTTACCGATATTTACCGTTAGGGCATCATATTCCCGATCTTAAGTAGGGGAAGTAACTATAGTCAACACCTAGCCCTAGTACTATAGCCCGCTTACATTAACTGCCGCTGGTCGTGCCGCTGGGCGCGCTGCCGCTGGCCGCTGCCAGCGGCAGTTAATGTAAGCGGGCTATAGTACTAGAGCTAGTCAACACCATGTTTGTTTGTCGCCGCTAGGGGTCGCAACAACTTCCGGTTTTCGGTTCTGGTTTTCAACGTGGCCTTGAACGTGTTGGCTAAGTTACTGTTCGAAGTCGAAATGAGCTTTCTGATTATGAATGAGCGTGATGATGATGAGTACGATGACAATGACAATGAGAGGGAAGTGGATAATTTTTTTCAATTTCATGAAATAACTAGAAAGGAGCAGTTGTCGCCAACTACATGTATCTCCCGTGATCTAGTATGAATAGAATATCTCTGTAAGGACGTAGAAGGCAGGTAAAGTTAAATAAGTCACAAAGACAAAGGTTTGTTAGACAACTGGTGTGCCTCAGATGTGCAAGTATATGGAATCTGGTTACCCTAGGAGGCCGAAGTAGTAAGTTGACGGTGAAGGTCA